TCATTGACCTCCGAGTGTGACTCAGGGAAGTATGGAAATTGCGAGAAGGTGTATGTCAAGGAGGTTGGAAGCACGAAGTGTACGATATTAGAAAGAAGTGAGAACTCGGCAGTGACTACTATAGTCGTGAGAGGATCAACTCAAAATGTTTTGGACGACATCGAACAAGCACTTGACGATGGGATTTGTGAATACAAAGTCTTTGAAAGAAACAAGAAGTTTGTTGCTGGAGCTGGTGGGTTTGAAATTGAAATGTCGAAGAAGTTGAGTGAGTATGGAGATTCAATCAAAGGGTTAACTCAGTACTCAGTCAAAAAGTTTGCAGAAGCTTTCCAAATGGTTCCCCGTGTTCTTGCTGAGAACAGCGGGTTGGACGCAACTGAAGTCTTGAGTGAGTTGTTTGTCGCACACCAGAATAATCCAAATATGGCAGTCAACGTCGAAAGCGAGACACAACTGATCGACGCAAAACAAGATATGGTCCTTGACAACTTGGAGGCAAAGAAAAATGCCTTCATCCTCGCTACTAACGTCTCAATCACCATTTTACTCGTCGATCAAATCGTCATGCAAAAACCAGCCGGTGGACCTAAAATGCCATCTCAAAGAATGTCGGGACCAATGGATCAAAACGACGCCGGATTTTAATTCGTGCATTCCGAGAGTAAAGTGATTTTACGAGTTGGGTTTGTGTTTGGCAAGTTACTACTTATAGTTGTTTAACTATTCATTTACTATATTGTTTTGTAATAAAAGACAAATACTAATAAATAACTAAAATGATATTATTATAATATAATTTGTTCGTATTAACTAAATTACTAATAATTATTAATAATTACCAAATGAGTAATTTGTTATTATTTGTTGTTAAAAAAAATAATTATTCTTCATTTTTTATGAAGTTATTTCGACATCAAAAATTTTGGTGAAAATAGTCCACATATCTCAATAAAAATCCCTAAGATCTGAATATTTTAAGAGAAACAAAGGGAGGAAAACAAAAGCTAAAAACAATAGTAATTTTACGATAAATTGATGTTAAAGAATAAGGAGCATCCA